AAAATTTAGTTATGATCGACTCATCATGCAGTTTTCTTCGCTACGAAGCCACTTATTGATTCTCGAACTCTTCTTTGTTTGACGAAATAACAAAAGGATAAAAATGTTTGAGATTACATAACAAAAATATTAGCATGATCCTTGCTCATAGCACAATTATCTATTTGTTTGAAAATTGATTTGGTATTCCAAACGAAATCATTTTTATTGTTAGGTCAGACATTTACATTATGTGCTTTGTATTTTTATTGGAAAATTACTCCTGATTCAATTTTCTTTCGTGTCATATTGATTGTACTCTTTTATGCATGCGAAAAAATGTACATATATATTACCTCCGATACGGAAATGTTGATTGGTAAACAAACATTAGCGAAAAAAAAACTTTGTGAGCGTTTCGAGAAATACCTTTGTCAAGTCCATTGCTTATTTTTTTGTATATCAAGCCATATAAAGCTGTATTATTATAAAAAGTTCTTCATTTCTTGAATAGGGAATATTTTTCTTAAAATAGATGAAAATTTTCAGGAAACACGTTTTTACTTTCTACTTTTTCATGCATACAGTGTGTTTTAAATTCCATCCTCACCATTGGGATCTCGGAAACTATGAGAGATACGAAGATGGTTGAATTAGGGCAAATTTGTGCATTTACCTGACTAACGATATGCCGTTGAGAAAGTTCTGAAATTCCGAGTATCCGGAAAACAGTAATTTCAGAAAATGTTTTTTTTTCTGGCTTCATTCTTCAAAAAATTCTGAAATAAATTGCACTTCTATATTGCCACTTTTTGCCTGCTACATAATGGTGTTTTCAGATTTGCTGTCCGACGTTTCGACTTCAGGCCATCATCATCAACTTATGATATGATACATCAATGATGTATCATTATTTTGTTGAAATTGGAGATATTGAAGAGATATTGAACAGTGTTAGAACATCGGAAATGTACTTGAACTATGTTCAAGTTATTGGATCAAAATCTTACCGAGTTTGGTTCATTTGAAAAACCGAGGAGAAAATACGGAGACAGAATGAACCAGGAAACTAAGGAAAATTTGATAAATGAGGTATGTAAAGTATGTATGAGGTAAGTTAAATATCGTGTCCTTTTCAATAAAAATTATTGATTTGCAGATAAACATATGAACCCGGGGAAATCTACACCCTGTATTTGGAAAGTGGGGAATTTAAAAAATCGATATGTTCACACTAAAGCAATTTGCTTAACAAATTTCGACTATTAGAGATTATTTATTAACAGAATAAACTTAGTGTTTTTGGAATATAATCCGAAAACTAAAATTTATACAGATATTCAATGTTATGCTCAAATTAGCTATCATCATTGAAACAAAAAAAAACATTTGGTCAAAAATCTTCAGTTAATAGCATACTGTTTTTCCAGGCGTGTTCTGTCACAAAAATCGAAAATTGGGTGCTCCACGATATGAACGATCGGCAGACCTTGTCGCGTTTCGAGGCCAGTTTTTTTTCTTTTGCGCAACCAAAAGGATCCTTTGTCAGGTGTGATGAAACGTGGATCCCTTACGACAAGGTACTGGTCAACAGTCAAGGTCAAGAGTTCGATTCCTGTTCCACGACAACTCCCGTTCGCAAGTTTAACAAATTACCGTTCGAAAATTAATCGAATTGAGCGTCGGAAGTTCTGCCTCACCCACTGTACTCCTCACATCTCACACCAACATACCAGGCAAAAACGGATTTCGTCGACTTCATCGAATCTCGAGCACGCAATTTTTATGCTGAAGGAATTATTCGTTGGCAAAAGTACACTGATTCAAATGGCGCTCATTTCGATTGAATTGAATAAGTATTCACTGGGATATCACATTTTGCTATAGACTGATAAAAACGAACACAACCTTAGAAAAAAACGTTAAGTAATAACAGTTAAAGTAATTGAATTACTTATAGTAATTGAATTACTTATATGAAACATTCATTTGCTCAAGGATCTCATTTCAAAATTTTGATTTGGAAGAATCCGACACTTTTATCATGAAATATTATTTCAAATAAATTTTGTTTGAAATCCATCGTCTTTTCCAAGTTGAATATCTTCGCAATTATAATTTTGGAATATCATTAAAATTTCTCAGGAACATTTTAACTCCAAACTATTGAATGAATGATACTCTTATATATGACACTATGGCACACCTATTAATCTCAATAAGATGGGTTGATGCAACATCGAGAGGGACATGGTACCCCTTAATAAATCTTTCGTTTTCCCCGAAAAACCATACCCGTTACTACAGTGCTAGTCAAAAGTCCCCTCCCCCCCTCGTATCTTTTGAACGGGTATACTTCTAATAATGAAATTTGGAGGGTGGAAATAAACGGATGTAGGCTTCTTAACTGGTCATAACAGGTGACGCAATAGTCATAAATGACGTCACAAGGCCACTGTGACCAAAAATTTTAAATGGGACCCTATGGCAAGTGACAGCTNTTTATTTCCACCCTCCAAATTTCATTATTATAAGTATACCCGTTCCAAAGATACGAGGGGGGGAGGGGACTTTTGACTAGCACTGTATAAAGTATTTCATTTATTCAACCGTTCTCAAGGTTGAGTATTAGTGGAGTTTCATCCCAACACCAAACCGTTATTTTAACACCTCCATATATGTTTGGATCACCAAGTCATCATCTTCAAGAGGAAGATAGATAGTTTAATCTTCCATCACTGTCACATGCCTTATGCCCAAAATTTTCGAAAAAATCGCATGGCTTGAGCTAACCGATATGCCGACATCGTCAGCAACTTCTCTAATATTGATTCTCAATAACGATTTTCTTCACTTTCCCAACATTTTCATCTGACTCAGAGTACAATCACCGTTTGCCACTATCAACATATCATTTATTTTTGAGTACTCAGTTTCAGTTTTTACACAAAATTGGATGCAAATTTTTTTTATCCACTTATTTCGAAGCAGAAAATCGCCGGACACGCAAAACACTTTTAACTTTCATGCCTCTCACCAACAAACTAAACGTGAAATATGTTAAACAGCTGAAACTGTGAGCATATCTTCTAGACGAGTGTACCAACATAAACAAGTCAATAAAAATATTCTCGGACAGTCAAACGGCGTTGGAAGCTCTTGGCTCCTACCGAGCAACGTCTAAATTGGTGGCAAATTGCCAAAAACGACTCTTCTCGATAGGAAGACTCAACAGATTATCTCTGGTCTGGATTCCTGGCCATACTGTCCTGCTGTTTTCCTTGCAAAGGAGCGTGCTACAAGCAGCTTCATCGGATCAGAACCTGTCATTTGCATCGATTTAGGCTTTGCCAAACAAATAATGAACACCTGAATGGCAAGAAGATTTATGGCCTTCTGGCAGAATCTTTCAGGATGGATCTCTCCAAGGCGTTTATTCATCCTTCGAAGCTTGATATGAAACAGTTATTGCAGGGATGAGGCGGGTTGGCTGTCCTTGTTCATCATTCACTGCCTAAACCCCTGTGCAAGCTTTTTTGGCGAGTACATAGGCTTGGGATATGGGGGTTGAGCACACCGGCCATTAAATGCCTGCTTCCACGTAGACCCGCTGGATACGGGAATCTGTTTTTCCGTTTACCAGCTGTCGCACCCCTACGAACGACAACCCTCAGAAGTCGAAACTTGTGTGAGCTAAGGATTAACGAGGTCTTACCTTTTAACGTGTGATTCCTAACACGGGTTGGACGATAGCAAGTGAAGATCGATCGTTCAGACTAGGGCTTGAACCACCGACCAACACTGCAGTCAATTCGAGTGAGTGAACAAATCACCCACGCCGAACCGCTTGGCTACCGACCGACCTATGGGAATGGCAGAATCACTTGTGGTTCTGTTATTCCCTAACTGAATGGCATTCCAACGATGGCTTAATCTTAAGGTGTGTATCCGTGCCGAGGGGATGAATGACACTGAGCCTATCAGCTGTCACTACGGAACCTTCGAGATACCGGGCACCTTCTCGTCGTAGCATCGTCTTGTCACGGTAATGCGGGGCACTGCCGTAATGGACCTTCTTTCCCTAGCTACTCGTGGGACTTTCATGGACAGAGTAAACTTCAAAATTCTTTCTGACGCTGAGTCTACAGAGGAGATGGATGTCGAGCTTACGACTCCAACTGACTTATCTGTGAATTTAGATCTGGAGGGAAAGCTTCTCAACTCTCCAACTCCTGATCCAATGACTGAATCTAAAAAAAAAGGTTTGGTGGTGTAACCAGGAAACAATTGAGTAGTCTCTTCAAGAGCGGGGTACCCTATGAAACCGCCTTGCACCTAATTCTGGAGCGGCGTACTCAGAATCTGTCTCAGGTGGAGGAACAAACGTTTGCGTTCAAGTTATGATTCACCAAAACCAGAGGCCAAAGAGCTCTGCACGGGTGAATCTAAGGCATCGTCAGGTGTAGCTTACGTGCAAAAACCCACATATGGGAAGATTGTAGCGGGTATCATCTGACCTGAAAAACCACTCACCATATAAACTAATCGGCTTCGTTAAGAAGCTGGGTTTATTTGGTCGAATGTGAATAGGTGTGAGCCACAATAAACCCTTGCGGGTTGCGGTGGATAGTCGAATAGACCCACTCACTTTGGACCTACCCTAACCTAACCTAACCAACATAAAAAAATTGCTAATCGAATTTACGAAATTTGAACATTCACCTCATATTTTTAACAGTCCTCGTACATATTCAGAAAAAAAATTGTGTAATTTAATATCCGCAAGAAAAGTAGTTGCTCAAGATTAACTATAATTTCTAATTTAAGTCTAAAAGAAACATGGATAATATACAAATTCAATCTCCCCACAAACTACCTCTCTCATACATTCAAAAACAAATCTCTCTTCATTGTGCCACTTTGAACTAAAGGACCTGCAGCGTCTAACGGATGTTTCAAAAAATTAAAATAAAAGAAGTGTAAAATACATCCCACCACCATTTTCATTTTAAGCCACTTACTTCTATATTTAGTGGCAGTGCTCCAGGATGATTTCAAATGCCGTTTCTGCAGATGTTCCTTTGTTTTATTGTGACTTGCGACATTTGGAGAAGTATTAACGGCATCGTATGTTTTCCCCACGAATTTATTCCAAAGCGTTATGAACTCTTTCATCTTCAAGTTTGCGAGTCAAGTTCAAGTTCAATATCGATATTTATGTGGTAGTTAACGATCGAGCGTAGTCGCTTGTTTTGGAGTCAAGATCACACACTCAGTGTGAGGTCTCTGGGTTACCTGGACTGGATTGCCTGCCTCCTTTTACTGAGTTGATTCGAACTTGTAGACTGGCGAACTGTGGGGAATGTGAAATTATATGATTCAAAATATTGTTGAAAATATTATCCAATACTTGATTAGAATATACAAACTCTTTAATGATAGTTCATTTTCAGTATTCAGAAAGTTAGAATTCAACTGATGGAAATTTATATGGTTTATTTCGATATGAACAAAAAAAAATTTTCAACGTACTTATACCACTGCGATTTTTACTGCTAATAGATTTTGAATTTCAATATTCTCCAAATAATTGATTTATATGATTCCACGTGAACTGTTAATTTCAATACTAACTGGAATTATATTGTTTACTCGGTATTTTTTCAATTATCATGAAGTCATCAAATGGAAAAATATCTGAATTAAATCACTGCATGGAAAAAATTTAAAAAAGTCAACAATATCAATTCTCTTTTACTGTACTTTTCTAATACTGTCATTATATAGAAGGAAAATTTTGTCGATGTTTGTTTGAAGTACACAAGTGGAATTTAAAATACCGAAAAGTATATTACATATCCATCTACGAATGATAATTTATTTTTAAGGTATCTATGATAACGCTTTTTGGAATATTTTGTGAATTAATACCAAAATATTTTTGATGCTTTACAAATTTTAGTATTCTCAATTGGGTAGTCATAATATCAGTTCATCGCCTGTTTAATTTAATGATAATTGAAAACAAATACTACTTATAATGATAATAATAATAGTAATGATAGAAATACCTCTTTATTCACCATAAAAAGTACAACTGAATAGGCAAAGAGAGCTTTCAGAATAAATATGAATAGGTGAAGTATTAGCCAAGGCTGTTTTTCAACTCAGCCTGGAAAAAATTACTCAGTACTTTTCAATTATCATGGAGACATTAAATGAAAAAAAATATGAATTGAATGATTGTATGGAAAATATTTGAAAAACTCAATAATATAAATTTTTTAACTGTTCTTTCCTAATAGTAATCTGTTATTATATTGAAGGAAAATTTAGTCGAATTTTGTTTAAACGGCCTTAGTGGAATTTGAAACACTGAAAAGTATATTACATATTTATTTATTGATGATAATTTATTTTAAAGGTACCTATGATAACGCTATCCAGAATGTTTTGTGAATTTTCGTTGATATTTCTCAAAAGTAATTATTCTCAATTGGGTACTCATAATATTAGTTCATCGCCTGTTTAATTCAGCGATGATTGAAAATTGATACCATTTATATCGTTTACTCGGTACTTTTTAATTATCATGAAGTCATCAAACGGAAAAATATCTGAATTAGATTATTTCATGGAAAATATTCAAAAAAAAAATCATTAACATAAACTTCATTAAAAACAATTTTATTTACATCTACTTTTCAACTTTTAACTATTATGTTATTCACGTCAATAAATTGGATGTATACTTTTAAAATGAAATAATTGTTTATGAACTCAACTAATTGAGACTACTTTGAGAATCATATATCGATAATTTTTGAGACCATACTACATTGTTATTGGCAAATGGCAAATTGTGTTTATTGTTCCAGACACTTTTAGGCATCAAACATATTTTTTAATTCAACCCTTGTCGAGTGAAAATATATTGAATTTTTTGTGTGATTTTTCTGCTATCCGACAAGTTCCAAAACAATACAACACTGTTTGTCAACTCACTTCTTGAGCGTGCTTAAAATCCAAATGAAAACACTTCACTTTTCACTCATCAAAACTCACCCCAAACTTCAAGTCACATACATTAGACAGCTGATTATAACGCTCAAGCACTTATATGTCTAATCAGTTTTCCGCCAAGTTTGTAAATATATAGTTCGTTATTACTGTTGTACTTTCACTAGCCAATGAGATAGCACACACTGGCTAAGCCCCACCACTACTAACAATCCAGCGTGATTCTGTTGTTCCATGTCGTCACATATTATGCAGGACTGATTCAATATCAATCGGATCACACTGATTTGGCGAAAATTCATTTGAGGATGTCATTTCTCGCAATAGAACCAAGATTAAACGAAATATGGAAATGTCGCAATATCTGGGTATTACACAAGAGTGCACCGAGGGGGTTGTTAGGATGCATCCCTCTGTCTCTCCCTCCCCGATATACCGAAAGTTGACATGAAAAAACTGAAAAGCTAGCTTCTTGAAAATACTTCTAAATAAATTAGATATTTTGTATGAAAAAAAAACAAAAAACTATTTGAATTATTCGTTCAGGTAAATTGGTAAAGATGGATATACAGTGTGTCTCACTTATAATGGAAACACCCCCGTATCTTCCGTAATATTCGAGATAGAACGATGAAACTCTCAGGACTGATGGAAATGCTCAAAATGCATATACCACCTGAATGGAGTTGGCCAAAGTGATATACACTGTCCGCCACTCGCGATGGAACACCCCATTTTTACGGTAAAACATATTAGGGGGCAAGATAGGCTCAAAATTCTTTCAGATTCGTGATCAGGACTACCAACTCACTACGATTATACTTTTTTCTTGAAAAAAATTTCAAATTTGTTTCACTTCTCATGGAAACACCCCCGTATCTTTCGTAATAATTGAAGTAGATTTTTTTTTTTGGTTTTGACATCAAAACATGAACGGAATTGTTTAAGAGAAAATTGACTTTTGTTTTCACATAGATAATTTATTTTTATTTTGTTGTCAGGAAAGTTATTCTTTCTCAATAATAGAGAAAATGGTAATTTTGTAAGAGGAACGGAAACATGTAATCAGTGAGGTTATAGGATGCTTAATTTTAGTTCATATTCTCATTTTCCCATTATTTAAATAAAACAAGGATATTTTGTGGCGAAAAATGTTATGTAGTTCAAAATTCTTTCGAAGTACTACTTTCAAAATCACAATTTCAATTAAAAAACAAAACAATCAATTTCAAATGATTTAACTGTTGACAATTTTATATTTTCAAGTGACAGACGTGCCATGTTGAAATTTGTCAGTCAAAATGAGCTGATATCAGTTGAAATGGGAACTTCAGAAATATTAAAATATGAACAGGAACTTACGAACAGAAAACAACTGGAACACAGGAACAATATCCAACACAAATACAGGAACAATAAACACAATGGGAACAAAAACAAGGCAAAAACAACAGGAACAACGGTGATGCAAAGAACAACAATACTAGAAACAACAAATGCAATGAAAACTGGTCTGGGGGTTAATACAACAAGATCTTTCAACAATATTGTCAGGTTGATAGTAAATATCAATGAGCAACTGTTTTTCATGGTGATTTCAGGGCACCGCATGATTCAATGAAACTGATGTAATTCAAACCTTTCAAATGATTTCAGACAAGAATTATTCAGCAAGTAGGTAAAATAATTAATTCTACCTGTTCACTGAGTGCAATTTTTTCTTTAAAAATTAACAGTTGTTTCGGTGTTGCAATGAGTATGAAGATTAATTTTTTGCAGTTTTTGCTCATCAATCGAGAGCTTTCACTTCTGTTTGGGATGATATTTGGATGTTCAGCAACCAAAATTAGTTTTACGAATAATCTCTTTCAGTTATAATAGATGCCGCCATCGATAATTTTTCATTCACTGCTTCACACTATCTCGTTAATCTGAGAATGTGATGCTGTGATATTTTCCTCAGATATGCTCAAAATGGATGATAGCATCTCACAGCATCTGCATCTTTCATACCTGAGAGTACTCTCCAGATAGAATGAAGGGGTTCATGTATTGGAAGCGAACTATTTTGCGCCGGAATATGTTTTACCTAAAAATGGGGTGTTCCATCGCGAGTGGCGGGCAGTGTATATCACTTTGGCCAACTCCATTCAGATGGTAGGTGCATATTGAGCATTTCCATCAGTCCTGAGAGTTTTATCGTTCCACCTCGAATATTACGGAAGATACGGGGGTGTTTCCATGAGAAGTGAGACAAATTCGGATTTTTCAGAACTGAATTTTTTTCAGGAAAAAAGTGTATTCGTTGTAAGTTGGCAGTCCTGATCACGAATCTGAAGAAATTTTGAGCCTATTTTGCCCCCTTATTATGTTTTACCGTAAAAATGGGGTATTCCATCGCGAGTGGCGGACAGTGTATATCACTTTGGCCAACCAAATTCAGGTGGTGGGTGTATTTTGAGCATTTCCATCAATCCTGAGAGTTTCATCGTTCCACCTCGAGTATTACGAAAGATACGGGGGTGTTTCCATAAGAAGTGAGACAAATTCGGATTTTTCAGGACTGAAATTTTTTCAGGAAAAAAGTGTATTCGTGTTGAGTTGGTAGTCCTGATCATGAATCTGAAAGAATTTTGAACCTATTTTGCCCCCTTATATGTTTTACCGTAAAAATGGGGTGTTCTATGGCGAGTGGCGGACAGTGTATATCACTTTGACCAACCCCATTCAGGTGGTAGGTGCATTTTGAGCATTTCCATCAGTCCTGAGAGTTTCATCGTTCTACCTCGAATATTACGGAAGATACGGGGGTGTTTCCATGAGAAGTGAGACACACTGTATAGATAGATAGATAATTTTATTAATCTCCATAAATCATTTACATGACATGAGATAAGTCCAATGGTAGTCATAAAAATGAGATAAATATAATAGTTTGAATAGTCAGGTATTTACACATGAAACATAAAATAATTGATGGAGCATACACATACAAATATAGTGTCACACATAAAGTCCGCATCAAATGGGATTTTTTTTTGTTCATCTCTTCAAGCAACTTTTGATATCTACATTAGGTTGTGCTTCGAAAATGATGCCAAATGACATGCATATTGTAATTTTTCGTAATTAGTAAATCAAAGTTTAACTGTTTGAGAAAAGTACAGTAAAGAATAAATTATTGACTTTTCATTGATATTGTTTTTTAATTATGCCTATGTATCAAGTTATTCCGCAAAAAGTTGAAATAAAGTGAAATATTTATCTGTTTTTAAAAACTGTATCAACTTTGCATCATTTTTGGCATAATTTTTTCTGGTGTTTTAAATTTTTGCGAAATAAGTTGTATTTAGAATTGCAATTGGTAATAAAAATGCATTGGAAAGATAAGTTAGGCATAAAGCACTAACTTTGTTGAGGTTTGGCTGAATTTGAGAAATCAGCAAATGTCAAATTTTCGAAAAACTGTAAAAAAACTAAATTTGTACTAGAGAGCTGAAAATTGGTATATGGGTAAAAAATGAAAAAACAATCATCTTTTTTCTTCACCGATTTTCGAAATTTCGACCAATAACTCCTTTTCTGAACATTTTTTGGAAAAAATGTCACATTGGACAGGGAAGAAAAATCACTTGATCGGTCATATGCCATGTCATTTGGCATCATTTTTAAAGCACAACCTAATGGAGATATCAAAAGTTGCTTGAAGAGATGAACAAAAAAAATTCCATTTGATGCGGACTTTATGTGTGACACTGTATAAGTCGTAACTTGGATGCCAACTATTTACAAAACTTGTTGGGAATATGAAATAAAATGTACATATAAACAAATCAAAAGTGTGGAAAATTTGTCTATCGGTCATTGAATGTAGTTCTAATATTCAACTCAATGTATTCAGTTAGTGAATAAAAGGAGTGACGGAGCAAAAATTATTTAGGAAAATAATTGGCAATTATACTGAAGATAAATATTTTCCCTGACTGTCTCTGACTATTTCAAAGAACAAAAAATATACCGATAGCCACATTGCATAATTTTTCAATACATTTGGAAAAATACTTGTTTGTAGATCCGTTACTTCAAGAATATCAATAACAATGCTCATGATAAGAATCATACAATTGTCACATGCGTTTCGCTACACGGTAGCTTCATCAGTCTAGTACCAGTTCAACTGATGGAGTTACCGTGTAGCGCAACGCATCTTTAATTGAATTTATAATGTGAAAATTGTGTAATTATTAATATCATGGATAATTTTGACTGTGCTTCGGAACCGAATTCGTTCACATAATATGTAGTGAAAGGATAACGAAGTTTATAAAAGATTGGGTGCTTTGTTCACTCACTCGAATTGATTGCCGTGTTGGTCGGTGGTTCAAGCCCCAGTCTGAACGCTCGATTTTCACTTGCTATCGTCCAACCCGTGTTACGATTAATACGTTAAAAGGTAAGACCTCGTTAATCCTTAGCTCGCACAAGTTTAGACTTCTGAGGGTTGTCGTTCGTAGGGGTGCGACAGCTGCTTAACGGAAAAACAGATTTTAAATAGACAGAATTGTATTTACGTACTGTAATTATGACTTGAGGATATTTAACTCATCCGTGGCATAGAGATGATGTTATGAGAGAATTTTTTTTACGATAAATGAATATTTTATTTGAACTTAACAAAAAATAAATAATACTTGCACAAAGAAACTTTCCCTCAGTTACCTCAAAGGTGCGATTTTGTTCCATCCTTTTCATAAAAGAGGACGTATGCTTCTCCACTCACAAGCAATTTTGGTGAAATTGGTGACACGTGGTGACATATCTCATCCTTCTAGAGGAAATTCGATGACAATATTCAATTTGCCTTTACATCTTTCCATTGGAGAGAATCTTTTCAAATGAATTACTAAAATATGGGAAAACTTGTGGATTCATAGGGACTTCGCGCATTTTCTCCTTTCTTTACATTTCGAACCCGTCGGTTTTTCATTTCCATCCAAAGTTTCTTCTCTTGTGAACAAATCCAAGCATTGCCAAAAACTCAATTGGTCGGTTCTTAATGGTATGGAGACAGAAAACTCCTAGAAAGGATCAAAGGTTACTAATGAGTGCGCACAGTG